TCGGTTAAGCGGCCGGTTAACCTAGCTTATAACCTCCCCAACCGCCCAAAAGTAGGTTGAACCGCCCGATCCTAGGTTAAACTTTTTAAGGTGGATCTAGCTTAACCGGGTCGAAAACCGTGTTATCCAGCTCCAACCGCCCGATTCTAACTCCATTTTTTTTGCTTGGGTAAGAGTGTCATGTTGATTCTTTCTATACCTTAGCTTTTGAACTTCCCGTTTTTCATAGCCATCAAGTCCAAACAATTGTACAGTATTTGTACACAGATCGGGTATATTACGCTCATGCAATCCGTGCAAACGAGCAAATAATGACAATGTTTCTTTAACATTAATATTTTGTACAAGCCAATCAAATTGTGGACAATAGCCAACTTGAACACGATTCTTCTACACATAACAATACTCAATACATTCATAAAAATATCTTTTTCAAAAGACTTACTTTTTTAACTATATTCTTATTACTTATTAATATTTCACCAGAAGTTGGTAACAATTCACCAACTAACATACGAAATGTGGTTGTTTTACCTTTATTTTTATAAAAAAATACAGCATTTTAGTTTTAATCAATTTTTTCTCCGATTAGACGTACCAGCACCGTTGGTTCCTAAAGAAAGTGAAATCAAACAATAGTCAATAGTTTCGCAATTAGCAAGATTTGAACCGTTTCTTTCTCGCTTTTTCTTTAATAGATCAATTTCACGACAATTACATTTTTTCTATTCTACATAAACCTCCTCCCAGAACAGAAGGATGAACAAAAATAAGATTCTATTTACCAAGTAAGCCAAAGCACGACTGATTAGTGACACCAAAGTTTAAATGATCAACAGCTGTATACAGTGAACGATAGGAAGATTTTGATTTTCTTTTTTTAAACTGTTGTATAAGATCTTTTACAATTATAACCATAGATGATAGGTTTGTTATCCCTTTCTCAACAGGATTCGTTCCGACATTGTTGGTTTCCACTGCATGAATAATGTTTCGTTCACGTTTTACATCGTCAGGAAGATTCTAAACGAAATAAGTCGTCCATACAATTATTGGAGAGAGACAATGATCAAGTAGTCACTCAAAATAGAAAAATATATATATTTTTATTTCTAAGATGCACGGAAAGCAGAGTTCGAGCGGAATTTAGATTTTCCTCGTTTATACATCATTCGATAGAGAATTGAATAAGAATCACGAATATCATGTTCCCACCTTCCAAAACCGTTTCCTCGCTGAGATATCCTCAAAATACTTGGAGCATGTCAAAAACCTTAAAAATCTACGTTTTCAAAAAAGTGACCCAAAGTTTTCCAGATTTCGTTTTGAAGTTTTAAGGTTAATTGTTTCAGATTCAGCGCTGAAAACTGAATCTAGAAAAACAACTTTCAGATTTCTAGGACCGAAAATGGATTTTTCCCGCTGTCTAAAATCGGTACGTGTTGAAAGTGTGCATCAAACTTTGCGACCCTAATTCAAGCTTTCTCAAAGGAGCTAGTGCCAAAACTTTTACATGGTTGGATTCGCCAGAGGCCAGGCTTCAAATTAATAAAGAGCTTTTTTCGAAATTCTTTTTCTTCACTGAGAAAATCGACTTTTATTCAGCTTGTCTATACGACGACCAAGTCCTGTTGCACTATTTTCGCGAGTTTTCCTTCGAAGTCACTTCTGATAACGCAGAATGGGTTAGAAATGATGCAGAATCTGCTGATGATAGTGTACAGATCCTTACAGGATTTTGAGAGAGTATCTAGTGGTTTTTGAATGGAGTTTCGTTCTAACTCCCTTAGTTACACGCCTATGATCCTTTAAATTACATCCGATTGAACGAAAATTTTGATTTTAGGTACATAAGACCCTATCTTAGTTGTGTTTTTTATTTTTGTTTTCTTCTGGAGTTGTATTAAAAATCCACAAAAGCAGCAGCACGCTGAACCACCTGTAGTAAGTTTACTTATTCTTACACAGATTACGTGGAAACGGTGATTACCAAACGGTAGGCTAAACTATTGGTACGGTGGGCTTCTTTCAATTTTATTCTAAGTTTCTGATAGGGTCGTCACGGTCTTTGCGACTTCTTAGTAAATTTGGACACTTTTTCTGTTCTCTTACTGCTTTTCTTTTTCCTCTCCTTCACACACACATTTTGTATTATTTTTCTCTTTTATATACACTCCGAACATCGAATAACCCACAGAACAAAATTTATTCTAAATTTAGTTTCTTTTATACAAACATCTCAAAATTCAAATCACGCAGCAACAGTGATGAACTCAAATTTTTACATGAAAATATCATTTTTACCATTTTTCAATATTTTCTCTAACATTGCTCGTAAGGCGCCGCTAATTCAAAAGTTGAGAACATTTTTATTTTTGGTTTTCTTGTACATCGTTCGATATAAAATTTCATGCTGATCAGCAGTGTTATCTTTTTAGCCTCAAATTTTTACATGAAAATATCATTTTTACCATTTTTCAATCTTTTCTCTAACATTGCTCGTAAGGCGCCGCTAATTCAAAAGTTGAGCACATTTTTGTTTTGGATTTTCTTATACATCATTCAATATAGAATTTCATACTGATCAAGAATGTTACCTTTCTAGCCTTCCCAGTGCACATTTTCATGGAGAGAAATTCGAAATACTCTGAGGGCCTCAACATCGGGAAAAACCTTCGCGTTTCGAAAAAGGTGAATATTTTTTCTCCTTTGTAATCTGAAGCTTTCAAACGTGTTTTTTGTCGGATTCAGCATTGAGAACTGAATTAGGAAATGTGTTTTGAAATTTTTCCATATGTAATGTGATTGTAGGAACAACTGATTTACAAGTATAGCTCCAAAGTGAAGGCCTCGCCGCAAAAAGCTACCTAGTTTTTTATGTTAAGAGATGGAGCTCTAATTCTTGCGCCATTGGATCGGCCTTAATTTGTAATACAAAAATTTGAATCGCTTTTTTCTAAAATTTGTTTCATTCCTGAGAAAGTACATTCTTTCTGAATCAGGAGCGAAAAAATCGAAATTCTGCTCGTAATTCTCTATTTTTTCCATCAGAATTCATTTTTTATGCAATAAAATATCATATTCTGAGTTAGCGTCCAAAACCGACTTGAACGATATATGTTTCAAAATTTTTCGTTGATTTTTATTTTATCGTCAAAATCTCAGTAATTTTAAGATGTGAAAAACACGGTAAAAAAAGATATCATTCCGCTCGGTTCTGGAAGCTGAGTCCGAATACGTGAGAATTTCGAAAGATACATCATTTGAGTCGGTTTTAGACGCTAACTCCGACTGTGACATTCTTATTGTACTTTCTCAGGAATGAAACAAATTTTTAGAAAAAAGCGATGCAAAAGCTATACTTGTAAACCACTTGTTCCTACAATCACATTACATATGGAAAAATTTCAAA